CATTAATTCTACTATTAGATGTAATCGACATTATTCAACACTATGCATACTGTACGTCCAAAATGCACTGAGAATTTGGACGGTCCCTCCCAGTTAGTTTCTTTGGGGGAGAATGATAATGAAAGAAGACCAGTGGGAAATGCGGTCAGATTATTCCTGGCTTTCATTATGATAGGTAGACAAGATCTAAAGAAAACTTATGAATCGAGACAGTATTGTAATTATTTCTTACATAATCGCATTTGGGATCTTGGACTATTTGTATGTAATCTCTGATTATCATCCTAGCAGGAAACATGTTAAGGCAATATTTGAAGTCCATTTCATAGTTCAATACTATTTATGGAGTGATTCCACAGAAAGAAAATCTCGGCTGTGCTTCTTGCTGGCTGCTGCTATTCATGCATATTGTGAATTTCTAATTTTGACAGAAGTCTGTATCTAAGTTTTTCCCTTCATTCATCGTGAAGTATTTAGCTGAATTTCACATTATCTATACATAATGCTTTACCATTTTACGCCTCTTATGTCTGTGATTGTCTGACATTCTTGTTCTGATTTGCTAGAAATATTGTCCTTTAACATAATGTTTTCTTTTGGTCTCAGACAAAATCAAGCCTTCTGATGTAGGTCTTGAGCAAGAAGCACAACTAGTTCGTGGGTGGAAAGGTTCCTTGAACAAGCGCAATGGGGGCCTTCGATCACTGCCGCCAATCAAATACCTGCACCTGCATGAATGTGATAGCTTCTCTGTAAGTGTCTTATCATTGGTTCTATTTTTTATATTTTGTTATCTATTTTTACGTTTTTTTTTAATTTTTGCTTGCGTTCAACCATGATTTTGATAATCTTGGGGGTTTAAGTTTGATTTCTGTTTTTGAATCTCTACAATCACGTAATTGTGAAAAATTATTTCCTGCAGATGGGAATATTTTGCATGCCACCTTCCTCTATCATTCCTCTTCACAATCATCCTGGGATGACAGTGTTGAGTAAGCTGGTATATGGTTCATTACATGTAAAATCCTATGATTGGATTGACATACCTGGGCTTTCTGACCCATCTCAAGGTTAGTTGTTTCAGTCAGATACTTTCTTTTTTGGTACTGGACCTTGAATATTCAATGCAGAATAGCTTGAGTTAAACAAAGTGAGCTGTTTCTTGTAACACAACACATAGCCCTACCAGCATAAAAAAGGATTGCCGCTGCTTAGTTTTTAAGATATAATGGTGTATTCTCTCTTCGTTCCTACCTTCCTCAGGTGAATCTTCATAATCTAAAGTTCTCTTTACTCTTGTCTACTCCAACACCCCATCTCACATAGGTAAAGCTTTATGAGTGGTTTACAAGGATATTACTTAGCTTTTAGCTAGTGTCCGAATTCATTTTTCCAAAGGTAGTAGTCTTCCCTGGGTTGTCTTGGTTGGTGCTATCCACTCAGATGATTCTAGGCTCATAAATTAGGTCGTGAATGGGCTGCAAAGTTTATATCATGCATCCTATATTTTTATTTTTTTGAAAAAGAATTAATCGGGTTGCTGTCACACTGCATCCTAATGAGAACTATTAAGTGGTATATACAAGTACTTGGGCTAGGTGCCATGTAACATATTTGCATTTAAGTATTCTTGTGTAGACAAGATGAAGAAATAATGTGGGTGTTATTAAAATGAAAATACTAAGTATATGATGAAAAATAGATTCCTTCTCTTACTTAGATGTCTAGATTGTGTACAAGAATCTTGATGTACTCTTTTCTGGTCGAAACACCATATGTCTTATAATGGCTATTGTTCCCTCAAAGATCTACTACTGCCTTTCTTGAATGTATTTTAGAGCATGTTTGAGTGTAATTAAAATCCAATTAAAATTGAAAATATAGCGGGTCTCACTCGTCTACTAAAAGTCAACAATAACGGCTAATTTTTCAATTTTAATCCGATTTTAATCTCTACCGAATACGCCCTTAGTATGTTAGCATTAATTTAATTATGTTTTCTGATATGGAATTTGAGTAGTTGCATTACACTAGGTTGTAATTCAATCTATTTTCTATAGATCGTTTCTCTCTCTCTCTCTGAAAAGTAATGCATTCTTGATAGTAGTATGTTTCTATAAGTACCTCATTACATTGAACTTCCCTTAAAATATTAGTTGCTGAGATTTTCTGTGGCCTAGTTGCAAGCACTGCAAGTTGCCTTTTTTACTGCCTGGTTTGTTCCTTCTGGTAATAGAAAGCAACAACTAGGCTTTTTTTTTTTTGCCCCTTTTCCCCTTCCGCATTTTGCATTAACGAATAGAAATTCAATTAGTTTGTCAAGAAAGGGGATACAACCTTGTAAAAGATACGTGTCTTCTATAATTTGTGTCTTTACGAAGTATCATGTACACGAAGTGCAGTTCCTAGTATTTCTACGACTTTATTGTGATTGACATTGCCTACTATGAACAGTTTTAACTTTTACCCCGTTAAAAATGAAGACCATTTATTCCATGTTTCTGAGGGGTAGTGAATTATCAAAGATATATGTTTTCCTTTGACTGGTTTCCGTTGAAATGCTATATCTCTGTTGATTATTTTCTCCTTTGTAGCAATAATCAAGTAAATATCTATTTTCAATAAAAAGAATCGAAGAACATGTTGAATTTACCTGAGTTCTAGGGATTTTTCACCTTAAGAAACTTCTTTGAGTAGTTTTTTCTAGCACGGCAATCCATGAAGTTCAAAAAATGTGTGAACCACAATTTATGAAGTCGTGTGTTTGTGTTCATAATTGGACTTTGCAGGTTGTATCTATATTTTCGCATATGGAAGAAACAAGTCGTCATCTTATTCTTCCTGGCATTTGCTTTGTTCATTAAACTTTCTTGATGTATTTCAGCAGCCCGGCCTGCAAAGGTGGTTAGAGATTGTGATATGAATGCTCCTTGTGAGGCAACAATTCTCTATCCGACTAGTGGAGGTAACATCCACTGTTTCAAAGCAATCACTCCTTGCGCTCTCTTTGACATTCTTTCTCCACCGTACTCTTCTGAGGATGGAAGACACTGCACATATTATAAAAGGTCTCCTGCAGGAGATCTACCTGGTAATTCATCAACTATGATTTGGGGTCTGTTTGGAATAGCTTTTGCTTTTTGTAGAAGAGCTTCTTGGGGAAGCTACCCTCGGCAGCTTCCTCTTAAAGCTCTTCTACTCACAGTGTTTCCAGAAAATTCATTCAAACAGTTTCAAAAGCAGCTTCTTAGTTTTAGAAGCAGCTTTTGACTAAACATCTTTTTCAAAAATCCTGTGAAAACGGCGCTTAGTCTTTTATTACTTTTGGACTAAAGAGTTAACTTATCTTCCTCTTGTCATTGTCCCTCAAGATACTCTCGAGATGGATGGAGTGACAATATCTGAAGTTGCTTGGTTAGAAGAGTTTCAGCCTCCCGATGAGTTTGTGATTAGGAGAGGGCAATACAAGGGCCGTGTTATCAAAACTTGAGAAGATCTTTCATGTTATTCAAGTGCATTGATGCCTTCATTGAAGAGTTTATTTAGTTTCAATCAAAGTTTCAAACTATGCGACAATAACTTTTGTTGACAGCCGAAATTAGACTTTGAGATGTATATATTGATGCATTAGATATTATTTTCGCGACCTCAGCTTGAAATGGTAAAATCTTAAGCTGAAAAATATGGATGTGGTGATGCTTTTACTACTTGGTTCGTTTCTTGTATTTTAGCCACTTCCCCGTCCCCGTCCCCATATTCATTTCATTTGTTATCGACTTGCCATTGCTTGTCGCAACAAATTTATAACTGTCGATCATCCCTATATATGTTTGCCATTGTGTCCTCAAATTGTAATCGCCAAAGCTTGGACAAAGAAAATAATTCCGAACCCGAACCTCAGAATTTCACAATACTCACGAACGTCTATGAAAGAATGACTTTCTTAATACAAACTTTTTTTCTTTTATGGGTGGAGATCACATAAACTACATTCAATGATGTCAATAAAGATACAATGAAGTCTTAATATTATCTAGTTGTGTAATAAAGAAGACAATCTTGAAACACTGATGAAATATTGATGCTTATACTTGAGTCATGGTCCTTCAAAGTAACAAAAATTGCTCAATTTTATAGCCGTGCTGCAGGAGATCTTTCATGTAATCGATGCGTAAATTGCCAATTTACCATCACACTACTTCATGAAAATGTTAAAAAAAAACACTCCTCTTAGCTTAAAGACATTGCTATAACTCTTGTTTTACCATTTTCATTTCAACGGTGCCATGTAATAATTACTTAGAAGGTTAGATTTGGTACGATAAGCAACAAAGTCATTTATTATCAGTTTATACGATATAGATGGTCGAATGTGATAAGAGTGATTAATTTTGAAACTTTGAAGTCCAATGGCTCAATTTAGAGAAATTTAAGTTGATTAATGCTATATGTACATTTTGCACGATAACTTGGGTTGACACACCCCTCTATGTGGAGAAAACCTGTGCAATGATGAGATGGATGAATTCAAAATCAAGATGGTAGCTGTTGCCATGTAGAGTGTGTTAAGGATAGCGTAAATGTAGCACGATTGATTTAAGTTTAGTAACCTAACTGAGATTCACAGAAAGTTCAGTGACCCCAGATGACATTTACCCAATTTATACAGTCAAAAATGAATTGGGATGTTAAGGTCTGCTTCATTACAATGTTTAGCAAACATACTCTTAATGCTTTCAATCACTACAAAGATGATACCCAAAAAAATGCGATTAAAACATGAATAGGCGAACCCCCAAAACAACGTTATATACAATAATGTAGTGCTGAATCTTCACTGCATTTCCAGTAGGTGCTCTTTCTTTTGAAAGCAACAGCTTGGACATGACAGCCTTTTGCCAAGGCACCTTTCAAGAATCTTTAATTCAGCGCTATAAATTTGAAACTCCGATCTTCAGCCATGAACAGCAGAAGACTAACATATAAATACGATACTTGTATCAAACTGCTAGCTTTGTGAACTTTGCAATGAAAAGTCCACTCGTAGATGATGTCAAGGGGTCAAAGCGCAGAGTCTTGGGAATTCTTGCACTCTTACAAGGCCAATTTTGGGCAGCATCTATCTCCAGCAACTCTGCAAGATTAAAACGGAAAACGCATCATATGAATGGAGAAGAGCCACTGGGGATGGGGACTTGGGTTTGCAGAGAAGTGGAAGTCAGTTGATCACCATCAGTCGATGCAACTGAAACTACATGAAACAGCAAGTGCATATAAACAAGAAGCACCCATCATGGTTCTGTTCTCATAAACTGGTGTTATCAAGTCTGCTTCTTCACTTTGAAACTGTACGAGAGGAGAGTTTTAGATTCGTCTACGTATGGATTTGGTGAAGCATCTGAGGGATGCTCAGCGGTACATCTCTCAGAAATGAACTCCAGTTAAACATTCTCATACTTAAATGTTTGACCATGTTTGGCAAAAAAATTAATTAAAAGTAACTTCACTATTTTCAGGCTTAGCCATACATGATTGTAGTCAACTACGGACGAACTTCGTTGAGTTGAGCTACAGCTACGTTGGACATCTATGGTATAGTAAAACTCTTACATAGACATCACTTCAGAAGCAAGGATACGAGTCAAATATATTTCAGGACTTGCACTCTGTTCATACTTCTTTCCTTGTGCATAAATTACAACCATTTATGTCACTAAATGAAGAAGACTCTTATCAACCTAACCTTTTGACGCTTGACCCCATTTCTTAAAGCCATAGTAACTTAAATCACTCTGTAACAAATCAGACTACTGTACCTATAGAATTCAATAAGAACTCTAAGGCCCGTATTTCTTCGTTAACCTATGTTTGACTTCCAGATTCTAAGACGATCTTTCTCTCCCTATACACACTCGTACGCATGTACGCACACGTATGCATATGTATAGAATCTACCTTCTGTCATCTTTCTTCCCATCTTAATATTTATATTCTTTGCTATCAGATTCCCCAAAAACCAACTCAACGGAAACTTGTAATTTCAAATGCACTAAAAGAGAGGAAAAGGAACAGCTCAAGATTCTAAAACCACTGTGATGCCTACCTGCAGATGCATTTTGTGAAAGGAACTGCTCTATCACATCTTCATTTTGAGAAAGAGTTAAACTATTAACATGACAAGCGAGAACACTGGTTAGAATATTCGAAAGAAAAAAGAAGAAAAGGCAATGCAACGTTCATGGAATTCCAGTAGAAGGGCACCTGCATGTGCTGTAGACAAGAGATCCACCAACTTTGAGCAATCTGAACCCATTGGCTAGGAGTTTTAACTGCAAAAGTAATAAGAAAATTATTGTCTGATTTTGAAGTAGAATAAGAGGAAAATATTGTTGAAAGAAAGGTAAAAGGAGAAGAAGAAATGATAAATAGAAGCAACGAGCGACAATAGCTGTCTTAGCTTATGATTTCCATCAGTATAAAGTGAATAACTTTAGCCTATATACCCAGGTACAGAATTACATGGACAAATAGGACAGAATCTCGTAATGACATCCAGGAATGAGAATTTATGCAAGTCTTAAGTGTTTGACACATCAACTAAACTTTCACTTCATTATTTCAGTAGTCTATTTAAGTAAGACTCAAAGGAATAGAATTACAAAGACAATTAAAACCCACTCCACTACTGTAATAAGACAAATTAATGCATCATGTGGCCCATGAAAAGCTCACATGATACCTTAAAACGAGACTAATACATCACTTCATAAGATGTACAATGATATAGATAAATGAAAACAAATTGCACGAAATGTCATCTCTTTTGAAACAAACAGAAATTATACATATTTGATATTGACTTGCTGAAGTCATCAAGAAAGAACAACAATACATAATCTATGCAAATAACACATAAAATGCTTGAAACAAATGCTTCTGAGTGCATTGCTCTTATACACAGCAATATGCCTTGTTATCCTCTACATGAATGATCATCTAACCAACCAACAAGCAATGAAGATTACTGACACTGTTGAACAGACTTCGGTCGCAATAACCTCATATTTGTGATCTTTCGTAACAAAGACAAACAGGTACTCTTCTATCAGATAATAATTATAAACTATATGAAACCTCCAACTAGTTTTGAACAAGTCCTACAGCATAACTATTCATGCAAGTAAAAGCAGACAGCTTATGGACCTGTAACACAGTCAAGAAATCAGTTCTCTCTGCATCCAGTACACGGCGCTGAAGTGTTGTCCATCCCCATTGTTCAAATTTTTGGATGTGCCTAATCGAACCATCATGCGTACATTCTGCATCCACGAGGACCTGATAAGAAAATTCAACCAGATGTAGATTTTGAGCAGAAAAGAGATTGGACAGCACTGAATCCATAACATATTGAAGACAAGTGATTGAAACCAGTGTTGTCTTCACTATAACAGAAAAGTGATACGAAACACAAGAACTTGTAAGATCAACAAACTAAGAATAATGGAAAAACCCACGAGATAATTGATTAAAAATTACCTTGTCATAACCTAATTGCAAGAGCTCACGGTCGTTGACACTTTGATACACTTCACATTTACTCAAACCAACTACTCCAGAATGACGCCCATAAAATATAAGCTCTGGATCCTGAATTTGTGAAAAGATCTGAGAAGCACCATTTTCTCTAGTTTTAGCTGCTCGTTTCCTTTCTTTCCATGGTCTCCGAGAAGTCCACTCCTTGTAGACCTCTAATTGTTCTTCAGCAGCAGCTTTGTATGTTAAAAATGATAATCCTTAGACAAGTATGACTATAAATAGTTTCAAAAATATTATGCTTCTAGCACTAGGAGCAGGAAAAAAAAATTAAAATTACTATTTTAAAATTACTGTAGATGACTTCCTTTAGAGACTTTACATGATTTAGAGTTCAAACAAACCCTCACAGGAATAAGGGAAAATGTTGTTCCATCAGCAACAAACAGACGGCAACGGTCACCAAGTGTGTATTTCTGCAGCATAGTTCTGCAAGCTGCTAATCGATGCCTAGAAACATCAACACCAGTCACGGTACCAGAACAGCCAAGAAGGTCCAATATCATACAAAGTTTAGCACCTGCATAAAAATGGAATCTTGAAACATGTGATTTTCGAAGGCAATATATTTATATCTCATAATGAAGAACATGATCTTCACTTGATATCTATACAAACATTAAATTGTTTGAAAATACATTCTCTGAGGTTATATGCAATTTCTTGACAATTGCGAGAGCTTATTCATCTTCATTCCATAGTGTTGTTAAGTTAATATCAATGAATGTTAATATAAACAAGGAATTCTTATCCGCCAAGTAGTAGAACATAAGTAAAAAAGTGGAAAAAGGAAATTCAACACATTGGCTCATCAGCCCCAATCAGAACTTTCAAATGGAGACCTTCATACATTGCCATGACAAGCTGGAAGTAAAAACTGGCTTCATTCATGCCACGACCTCTTCTTGGGAAAAAAGACAGACATTCTGACACTCTTTGTCAGTATGCAAGCAACATCCTTCGTAATTTGCAGTCAGTCTTCCTAGTTGTTTGTTGATTATATTGTCAAACAAAATTGGTGCCAATGGTAATATTTTCGTAAGTAAGAGAAGGGCAGAAATTTAATTGAGGTGAAACTTGGTAGAACTTATTTCAACATGTAAAAGCTAAGTAAGAAACTTGCAATCAGATCAGCAGATCAGCTGTGAACATCCAAACAATGAAACCACATTTACCAGGTGCAGCACAGAGATCAAGGACACGATCTCCTGGTGAGATACCCAAAGCTAAAACAGCAGCTCCAGAAGCTGCATCAATACCATATATCTGCATGACAAAACCAAGATAATTTAAAATATTTTGTAATTCAAATTTTTTTCTTTTTGTTTCAGGTAAATTGTCACATATAGTTTAAAAAGAGAAGTAGACAAGCTACGATGGGTACCAAAGTATCTTAGGAGAAAACCCATTGCTGATAGGAAAAATAGATCAGATATTGTTTCTAATTTTTGTGTCTTTATCTCAGTGAAAAGATCAAATGCTGAATCCTTTTATTTTTCTCAGATTGGAATAAATATCATAATAATGGTAGAATTACGTAAAGCAAAGATAACCAATAACATCAATCAGATTTAACCAGAGGAAGAATACAATAGGAAAGCTCATATATATATGACGTTTGATATATATATATATATATCAAATGTCACCCACCGCTCCCTAAAACAAAGGGATTCAACATTTCTCCCATTGTTCTCTAAGCCATTTGATTTCCTTTTTTTTTTTAATATAAAGCCATTTAATTTCATGATAGCGTCAGAAAAATAGAATTTTCAACAGTCACCTTTCCTTCTTGATACACCTTCGTGTTAGCGATTCCAACATCAGGCGAAAGATAGTAGAAATTAGCCAACCAAGACACTTCTTTAAGCTTGCATTTAATCTCAGCTTCAATTTCCATGAGGTGAGTTTCGCAACCCGGTTTTAACCTTCCAAGAAAGCAAAAGAACTTAGCTAATTATAACAATTAACCGCGACAAAAGACTAACACCCCCAAATTTTCCTTTCACTCATGTGCAACATTAAAAGTACAAATCAATTAAACATTCATTATTTATGCTCGTTGTGAATAAATCAACACAATTAAGTTCAAGAAAAACAAGGTACAAAAGGCATGCTAAAACAACCTAATGTAACGAGGCGTGGAATGAGAAGCAGCATAAATTGAAGGATCCAAACCGTTCTGCCTGAGAAAATCGAGGAAGGCATCCGGTAATGGTAATGTAGAGACATCTTCGACTTGCTCAGCCATTGAGCTAAAGCACACGGGGTGGTACTAAGGAGGGTTTTGAAATCTTTCACGGACGTTAGGGTGGCGCCGGCGGCGAGGGCGGGTGGCATAAAAAGACTGAATATTTCATTCTTATTCTTAACAGTTGATTTTTTTAATTATAATTTAATTATAAATTAAAGTCTTGAATATTTATTTATTTTACACTTGTGTCCTTAATTTTTTCATCATATTTTTATTCTTAACTTTAAATTAATTAATGCATAACAATTTTTTTCTAATATTATGCTAGCTTACATCGAAATTGAGGATAAATATTGTGTCAAACTTTTGTATTTATGATTTATTTATGTTATTTAAAAATATGAGAGAGAAATAAATCTTTTTATCTCATTATAACAAATATTTTGGACGACGCCATTGCCATAGACAAAACGTATAAAATAATAGAAGGCTAATGATAAAAAAAAGTTAAATAATAAGTACGAAAAGAAGCAAAGACTAAGGGCATGTTCGGTACAGCTTAAAATCCAATTAAAATTGAAAATATGGTCGTTATTGGGTCTCACTCGTCTAATAAAAGTCAACAATAATAGTTAATTTTTCAATTTTAATCTCTACCGAACACGTCTTAAAAACATTCATTGCCAATAATATTTGGCATAGAACTATTAGGTTATGTTGAGATTGGCTCATTATTCCACTGACCTTTCTTGGAATTTCTCCCTCCAATTGTCTATAATATAATACATTCGCACCTATTTTCCATAGTTACGTTACTAAGTCTTATTTGGCTTAACTAAAAAAGTTATTAAAAATTTAAGTCAAAATTAACAATGAATTTTAACCACATACTTAGTAGGAGCATAATTTTTATCGACTTTTCAATCATACATTTCATCAACTTTCCTCAAAATCTACTAAAAATTTGATGTTTAAGAAAACCATACATGGGCTAAATAGAAAAAAATTAAATGATACAAACACTACGGTTGGATATTGCATATGTTATGATCCACCGACTTGGCTCCAAGTCTAGTTTCTTGAAAGGAGATGGGCACTCGACGCCTTTCACGGTACCATCACCTTGTGCGGTGTTGGTGGTGATAAGGTTGGGAATCTAAAATGATATAGCATCATTGCCACTGCAATTGAGGCATTAAAGCCCTTTACATCCTTTTGAGTTAACCGCCTTTAGATTTGTTTTGTCGGGGATATTGAGTGGTTTACTCGGGTTATTCAAGAAAGCCTTAGCGTGCAAAAGCATGTTTGGGTGGGAAAGCATGACTAAAAATTATTTCACGTCATTACGTTCGACTTGATAAAGCACGTAATTACTGCATATTTGGTTACTAAATTAACAAAACAAATAACATCTCCACGTCCTGTAACCACAGCCAAGTACCTCACCGCAATGACCCTATAACCACCAGCACCATGTCCTCCCCAATCACCGTCACCATGTTCTCACCACCATCACCCTCACATCCGCGGCCTCTAGTAATAACACCATAATAAGCATATTATCCAGGTCGACACCATTAGTCAGTGGTGGAGGGAGGTGGGGCCAATGGGATTCTAGTCCCGCAATACTGAAATTACGTGTTTAAATTTTGTTCCGTTATTTTAATTAGATCATTACAGTATTCGGGTGCTTGCTCCACCATTGCAACTATTATTGCCGTAAGTAGAACGGTTTCCACCATTGTTTTCCTTCCATGATGTACTACGAGAAACATCATCAGGACCATGACCGCGACACACAAATATGATCATGGCTATGATTGAGAAAGAAAGAAAGGCCTCTCATTGCCAGCCTCATAAAATCTGTCTCATCCAATTCACTAACAGATCCTATGTGGTTCTTTATTGGCCTTTGAACATGTGCTGTGTACTCCATGATTTTAACACGCATTTATAGTACTAGTACAGATATTTTCAGGTCATTTTCTCATATTTTTCAAGAAAATGTTTGTAATCCATTCTCAAGTTTGGTGTCTTTTCAAATATTTTGAGACATTTGTGTCGACATTGCGTTGTCGTCAAAATCCGATTGTTTTTCTCTAAGTAGTGCCAACATGTGCCACGCTACTGCTACCATCGTTGCCACCATCTCCACTGCCGCTGCCATTAGCAGTGCCATGATACGCATAAATTTTCGGATCAACACCCATTCTTTTCTTCTTTCCCACATGTACTCTACGTATCATCATGATTGCGACGCCGTGATTGAAAATGAAATAATCACTACTTTATTTCCTCGTATTTTTCGAGCAAAATGTGCTTGAATCGCAAGACTGCTACGAATAAGACTTTGATTTCTTTAATTCCTAAATACATTCGAATACTATACATATGATGTTACCAAACTTGCTATTGTGTAAAATTCTTGTAATGAAATCCATTGAATTTTGAATATGAACAATTCTATTAATAATTCCTTGCTACTAAAAACTTTTTAACTTTTAGAATCTGTGTGTATATATTTAGATCATTAATCTTTTAGGATTTTGGTAATTTTATTCATTTTGTTGTTTAACTTTAACGATGTCCGATACTGTTTGATCCATTTTACCAAACATGCCTTTAGGATAGCACATTAACTAAAAAACATCACATTACCAAACGTGCACTTAATCATGTCCAGCCCAAATTACCTAACTTGCCGTTAGTTTCAAGTTGAAGGTGACACTTTTGAATTTACTGATCCCACCGACCTCGCGAATAACAATGTTCATAATCAATAAAACTAAGTTCTACATTACAGAAAGAAATGCATTTATTATAAAGCTATCATCCCTCATTAACTGCATACTATAGATGGATTATTTATTGCAAGATCTGAATTGAAAAATAGAAACAGACTGAGTTATTTTTTCACATTCAGTCAAAAGGAACTCAAGTTTCAACATGCAATAAAACAGACCTAAAGTTATTACATTCTAATGCAAATAAAGCATTGTTTGGCAAAGCTTAAATTTGAATTGAAACTGATCAAATATACTTTTTATCCGCCCCACAACTTATATGTAATTAAAAACATTACCAAACAAACAAGCACTTAAAGTCTTAAACAATCATCTAATTCTGCAGGGTGAAGGCATTAATATACATAGCAGAATCAAGAATTATTCTGTTATATTCAAAAGTTCAAGGTCCTGTCATATAACTAACAGATTCATATCCTTCACAAGCTTATATTTTAGTCACATAAAAACTGTTTAATATGCGCGTGCACAGAGATATATATGTATAAACGTGGATATATAGGTAGTATATAGAGTATTAAGATAATTCATTTTGACAACCAAACAGCAAAAGAAATTGAAAAACTATCATAATGTCAACCGGAGAATCCTCCCATATATACAACCTAAAAGTTTATAGTAGTTGTCATGCAAGCAAGATATGAGAGAACATGTACAAGTCTTTCAACATCCATATATCAAGCCCCTGTTTGAGCTCCATTTTAATTTTAATGCATTTTTCTCTCTTCTTTTTTTAACCACACATTCTCCAATAAAATAATATTACAAGTAAATCTAAAGCTTTTCCTTCTTTTTTTTAACCACACATTTTTCAAAAACTAACTATTCCAAAATACAAGAGGGGCTAAGTTTAATCTTGTGCTTCTCTTCATAGATGTACAATTTGTACAGAAAAAACAACTCAAAGCCAAACTATAGAGGAACTTATTTTTATGAATTATGCTTCTTGTACATTCTGTCTTGACATTAAGATTGACATCTTGCTTCTGTGTCAAAAATCTAGTCGTTGATTGGAAAAAAGTGTTGAAAATCTGCCAAACTCACATGATGTAAAACTTAATGTCAAAATTGATGTACATGTAGCATGATTATATTTTTATTATGAACCGTTAATCACTAGGCAGGAGATGAGGCATCAGAATTACTGTTACCAAATCATTGTTCTCTAGGATAACAAAAGCAAGCACCTCCAGATAACCGTACAGAAAAAAGTTGCACCTTTTTGTCATCTAACACGTCCATTAAGCTATTGGGTTTCCCAATAAACAGCTGAATATAAACGAAGGGCCTTGGGATGGTTCTTCTATGTTTCGGGAATAGGAGTCAACTGTTCCTGATAGAAAAGGAAACAATGTGAACAAATTAGATTTTATTCGTGTACTAACATATGAATGAAATTTACAGAATCAAATTAAGTAGTAAAAATAATGAGCAATAGTAGCTCAAAGTAGCAAAAATATTGACGCTGCACCTTTGTAGTTTTAACTATTGTTTCCCATTTAGGATCACAGGTTTGTGCCTTAAGTCCCTGGTTTTGAGGATTCGATGCCGTGCCAACGTATGAACGCAGAAATGAATTCTTTGTGGACATGGAAGGCAAAGTACGGAAAAGCCAAGAATCTGATGGAGATTTTGGTAATGGTGGAGGAACAGGAAACTGAAAGTGGCTTTGATGAGAATTCTCTAGATTTTCTGATTCGTGCGGCTGCTGTAGGAAGCTCTCAGTAGCCTTCTTTTCATTTACTTCTATATAATTGGCAGTATCTGAAATGCGGTAAACATCTTGATCATGTCCAAAAGCTTTTATCGCCCCCATTCCCTCTTTTAGATTTGATTTGTTGATTGAAGATAATGCAATAAAGTCACTAGATTTCTGAGCGTTGGGCAGTAATTTTGCTCCCTCGTCTGCAGTATGCAAATTATGTTGATCATTGGACGTAGCAACAACCTCATAATATTTGTCTCCTGAACCAGGCATTCGCTCCACTTGCTTATGTGACAAACAAAATCTCGTTCTTGGAGATTCCACCTGCTGTATAGTATCTACATACAGAGTTTTCTCAACAGGACTTGTGGAATCTAATTCCTTTGAACTGGTCTGATCAAACAATAATGCTTCAAAGGTTTTGTAACCCTTTGTTTCTTCAGGAATGGCAAGGACCACTTTCTCTTCTTGAATGAATTGAAGTGATTCATCACAATAGATAGTTGTAATATGTCCATCTAGTGGCCCACATAGAGATGATCCCTTGAGATTCTGTCTCTGCCAATTATTTGAATTGACCTGATTTCTCAAACTTGTTTTATCCTCGATGGCTTCATCCGTTTGGACTTCACCAGTAGATTTTCGCAGAGAAGTGTCAGAACTAGACTGCTTCATAAAACAGAAGTACAATTTAATCAACAAAACCCACGCATGAAGATTGGTACACATAAGTAGGGGGGAAGGGGGCAGAAGGAACTACAACTTATTACCTCAATCTCTGTTGCACTGAAAGAACCAGCTGATGAAGATCTCCCTTGCATTTTATTAGCAGGAGACCTTGGTACTCGGGTCCTCACACTCATTGCGGGAACATGATTTAAAAGGCAGAGCGAACTCTTATAGCAGAAACGGGGCAGCAACCCACAAACTGCTGGCAAATTTCCACCTTGACAAGAATCATCATCACTTTCTCCATCATCATAATCACCATCATTATCGTGATATTGGTGGGAATAATGATTTGCAAAACTAGGACCATATCGCAACAGAGGCTTATCTCCAGTTACTTTTTTCTTTATCTGCCTTGGCTGTTCTCGAACTACAGGTTGCTTTTTTTTGGGGACATATTCAGGCGTTTCTGAAGCCATTGCCTTAGCTGCAGGGAGAAACCGACCCATCATGAACTCCTGCATTTGTGGATCAGTCGAAAACTTTCCAGATGGTTTCATGTCAAGATCATCAAATCCACTTAAACCACTCACACTACAATTCACAAAAAATGATTCAGTTCTTGAAAGTGTATCAAGTGCATCTACATATGCTTCTTCACTATCACCTGACTCAGAACTCTCCTCATCCACTTTTGTCTCTTTGAAGTTATCAAAGTTTTTGTTTTTATAAAGCACAGATGGAACACTCTGTACATCATGAGTGACATTTCGTAATTGGATTTTAGGTACACTAGCAGTTGCAGAAACTTTATCAGAATTTTGCTGGTTAGCCTTTGGAGATCTCCCAGGAGGAAGCCTTGGGGAAATTGGAGGCCTCTCTGAGTTTTGAGTTTGTGGTTTGGTATCTTCCTTTGGTCTTCCGGGTTTTTGTTCCCAGACGAAAGGTACAGCTCCTGGATTACTCACAGGGCCAGATTTCAGTTCAGATCTGTAATGTGGAAGTCGTGGTATCCCGTGAATGGAATTTTCAGTTTTACGTTTGTCTTCTTTTTTGGAGGCAACTGTTGGTGAAAATCTTCTCACAGATAAAAGTGGTTGGTTGAAATTCAGTTGCTTGTCCTCCATCAGTTCTTTGGAACCATGATTCCATGCTATCTCCATAGTTACTGCCACCAATTTGAGAAGCATTTCAAGATTTATGGTTGAAAAACAGTACATTGGTGCCAAATATGTAAACCTAAAAAATTCTTAAATTCTTTTGGATGTCAGCATGTTTGGCTAAGCTTACAAAGAAAAAGGTAAAAGTTTTTGGAAAGTAATGGACTTACTTTTTCCAAAAGTAAATTGGTTATAAAGTTAAAGTAACTTCTAAGCTTAGCCCAAACATGCTCATAACATAATTAAAAATTGCACCAACTTTATTTGACCATTTTTAACTTCACCCATGGAATTGTAGATTCTATCAAACGATAACAATAATAATGATAGCAGCAGAAATAGCGACAAAATGACAGCAATAATAGCAACATAAAAGTCACAATTTTTGTTACACTAAATGGCTATATAGTTTCCAAAAGAAGATATCAGTCTAATGTGTTTCACATGTTTCATACGTCCAGCTATTATCATTTC